AGCAGGAATCCTCCACCACCCCCATTTCTTCAAACAGAACTCCGTGTTTTTACAATACAAAGACAATGAGCAAACATTTATTGTATATTATCCCTCCTTTTTCTCTTGGTTACTTATTTTGTTCATTGAATCTTTGCAGTGCCTGGCTACTCAGGACTAATGTTTCTTCAATTCCTTCTTCAGTGCTTATTGGTTCATATCTGGCACGTATGAGCATTAAATGTGCCACTTCCAAACGACCCTTTACAATCGCGATCAGTTTATTAAAAATACATGGTCCAAAGGTTAGCACTACTATTAATAACAATAAAGGTCCTGCTATTGTTGATAATAAAGTAGTAAGCCAAGGTGAATACTTAAACCAAGATTCATACCAGCTCTGTCGGGCTTCATTCTCCTGTTTCCTTTTTTCCAACCCTTCCCTGAGTCTTGCCATTGTATCTCTTACCACTCCAGTGTGATCAGCATACACACAGCATTCCTCTTTCAGGGCTGCACACAACCCGCCTTGTTGCAGAAATACCAAATCTAATCCTCTACGGTTCTGTAATACCACCTCTGAGAGGGATCTAATGGATTTTTCCAGGGCCGAAATAGATTGTTCAATTCGAGTCAGATCCTTGTCTACAGCAATTCGTAGTGAAGTAAATTCCTGATTTTGTTTTACCAAGGAAGCCACCCCAGTCCCCACTCCAGCTCCTCCCAGAATTATTAAGGTGGCCAGAGTTAAGGCTGTAAATGGCTCCCGTCTCTCCAGGTGATGACTTGCCACAGTATGCTGAGTGTACATATAATCCTCAGAATGATATAGGATTCTTGGCATAATTATCACCTGTACACAAAAATCCCAGGACGCGTTAAAGAGTTTCAGCGACAAGCAAGGCGTTACCCCTACTGATGAACACACCCATCTGGCATTATTAGCTGGAATTAGCCACTCGGCTGATTGTTTCCCATTTTCCATAATTTTACATAGATGGCGCTTTTCACTAGGGACCGTGCCTACACACCTACCACCTCCAGTTACTTGTGTTAGGGTTACCCCTATATCTTTTCCCCAACTACATTGTAGGGGATTACTCTCGTTTGTGCGGGTGGACTTTCCAGGGTCTCCGATAGCATCATAATATGGGGGTCTGATACTAAAGCACAACCAACAATGTTTTGTTACATTTGGGTTGGTTTTGTTCAACAATTGGTAGCTGGCGTTCATAATTCCCCACATACTATTTTCCACTAAGTTACCAATCTCAACTTTGTCCGGGCTCGTGAGGTTACTAAGGGCTGGCACTGTGGTACTTTCTACAGGTCGGATTCTCTGGACGCTTCCTGATAATACCTCATTTGGTCCTACTGCTCGGGGTCTTTCAGCATCCTCCTTTTTTATTAACACAAGTCCTCCCCTGTCGGCCCCGCTTTTGTAATACCTTACGCCCCACATTTTTCCTGAGAACCAGGTGGGGTCATCGGGATTTGTTATGTTGATATACAGGAAGCTACAGTTTCCAGAATACAGAGGGGTACCTCTGTGTCCCAGCTGTACCATGCGTCCGCCTAAAATGTTCCGACTAAAACGTTTACAGCCTTGGGGCCCATACCCTACTCGCAGGAATTTATCTTGTCCGGCCCCAGGACTCCAGTCAGAAGCAATTGTTTCACATCCCCAGTAGGCGCAATAGTAAGCGTTCGGATAATTGCAGTAACCTCTCCCCGGGTTAGAGCTTGGGCAGAGATAGTAGCTTGTCACATTTAGACATAAGTCTGCGATAATCATGTCACATAGGGTAGTTTGGAAACTGGGGGCACCGA